GGGAGGATAAATGATGCGCTAAGGAAGTGTGAATGTAATATTCACCACGGCCGGGCAAATCAACTGACGCACTGTAGTGCTAGGAAACGGTTTAGCCCGAGATGAAAAATAATAAAAATAATAATTGTCAGCGAAACCACTTCNGTGTACGGTAGGTCGGATGGTGTGACTAGTTTAAGCAAAAGTTCGAAAATTAGGTCCTAACCTCAAATTGTAGTAGAATTACTAACTTCGCGATTTTGTCGAAGTAAGACTGGAGATACGATGTTCTAGTGTAAACGCGTCGTGTTTAGTCAAAGTTACACTTTGTTAAAAAATTGCCCCGGTTAGGCCTAACTTTGACAAAATTTACAAACTTTACAATTTCGACAGAATAAGGTCGGAAAGATGATTCTCTAACATGAACTCATCGTGTTTGATCAAAATTGCGTAAATTTTGAAAAAATTGTTCGGTTGTGACCGGGGTTAGGTGTGTTTTATGTCAAGGACTTACTTTTCGATGTATATATCACGGTCGCCAGACGCTGTTTTCCCTCAGCGACAAGGGTCGGTGCCTCTCCTCCGTCGACGGGATTGCTGCTTCCCTCGGGATCTCTGAGAATGGGCAGGATGACACGCACGTATCACGCACGCAATAATCACCTTTTGTTTTAATGTATATTGCACAGTTTATTTTCAGGTTTACGGTATACACACACAGGAATATCCGCACCGAAGGTAAGTATATTATTAAGTACTTATTAAACGCTAAATAACTGAAACGCGTTAGCATTGAGCCGTAGAAAACTTCTTTATTCGTACGCTTTCTAGACTATACGTCCGTCCCGCACGAGTTTTCATTTGCGACTGCCTAAGCAAGATGGTTGACCGTCCTGCTTGGCCCTAAGGCCACTCTCCACACGGAAAGTTCTAATCGCGCCTTTAGGTGCGTTCAGAGTCACAGCACCAAACAAAACCAAAAAACTTTAGGGCGCGACTTAAGCGACAACTTTGACATCTTTGACATCTACCGAAGTCAGCGAACACGATTTTACCCACATAATTAGTTAAATAAACAAATTATGTGGAAATACAGATTAAGGGGAAATTTTTACATGAGTGGTTTCTACACGCACCTCCGCTACGCACTATGTCGAAATTTTCCCTTAACAACTAACTTTTACAAAATTCCGAAAAATCCTTAATAGCAATTTTAACCATACAACTTAGACTTGAAACACTTAACAGACTTTTGTTCACTGCTTAGGTAGGCTTAGGAACTACTTTAAAAGTTTTACCACAACTACCGAATACCAATACTGCACAACAACTTGTTATTCGCTTAAATCACCTCCACTGACCAGTACGTAATAAACAAAACAAACTTTGTTCAACCACTAAACAACTAACCTGTTCTTTGTCTCCGCAGGTATTAAACAAAAACAAACATTTCGTGGTAGCTAAAACTTGAAGCGCAACTGATTAAAACCAAAACCGAACGTTAAAATAACAAAACGCAAAAGGACAAAAAAGAAATAAACCAAACAACAGCCTTAAGCTTATTCTCACAACGCAACACCTTTTACCAAAGGAGTTTTACAAATTGCGTTTAAGCGCTACAACTCTCTAACATGTTTTTAACAATAGTTCCCTACACATGGGACGGATTATATATTGTTAACTTACACTTTAAACTTACACTAAGCCTAAAACTAGTATCACCCGGTACTTTTTAACGAGTTACTGTCTAGTTGACGCTTAGTAACCAAAACTTGTCTTAATAGTAACAAATGCCTATTTTCGTTTCAGGCACTTGAAATCGTCTCTACATTGTTTAGGATCTCATCCAACACGCGCGCCGCCCACTGGTTGGCCTCTTTGCGAAGTTCCCTCCTTTCATAATCCACTTGGGCGCTTAACACCGCTCCCTTGATCATGTCCGGATGCTCCACAACGCACACGCTAAGATCCGCAACAGGGGGTTCCGGGTCTGGTGACACGGTTAGGTCTAACATACCTAACTTTGACAAAAATTATGAGTTTCGTGTTTTTGACAAAATAAGAACGAGAAAATGATTTTCTAACATGAACTCGTCGTGTTTGATCAAAATTACGCATTTTTGAAAAAAGTTGTGAACTTTGTGATTTTGACNAAATGGGACCGGAAAGGTGGTTTTCTAACGTAAACCCGTCGTGTTTGATCAAAATTGCGTATTTTTGAAAACAGTGTTCGGGTTAGGTCTAACATACCTAACTTTGACAAAAATTATGAGTTTTATGATTTTGACGAAGTAAGACCGGGAAAATGGTTTTCCAACGTAAACTCGTTGTGTTTGACCAAAATTACGCATTTTTGAAAAAAGTGTTTCGGTTAGAACGAAACACCTAACCCTGACAAAAACTTCGAAATTTGTGATTTTGACAAAGTAACAACGGAAATGCAATTATCTAATGTAAACTCGTCGTGTTTAGTCGAAATTACATTTTGTTGAAAAAAGTGCGCAGGTTAGACCTAACTTTGACAAAANTGACAAATTTCGTGATTTTGTTAAAGTAAGACCGGAAATACAATTTCCTAACGTAAACTCGTCGAGCTTGATCGAAATTACACATTGTCAAAATTTTGCACCTGTTAGGTCTAACATACCTAACTTTGACAAAAAATTTTAATTTGGCAAAAAGTGAACCGGAGCGTTTATTTGTGACTAAATAAACGTCTCAAGTCAAAATTTTTCAAGAAAATGCAATTTTGGAAAAATTTTAGTTTTTTGGCAAAAATTACACCAGAGCATTTATTTATGACCAAATAAACGTCTCGAGTCAAAGTCTATCAGTTTTGGAAAATCTTGTTTTTGTATAGGTTGTGCGCATGCGTAAGAGCGGAGTAGGGATGGCGCGGCGACTTGGCTGAGCCGAGCGCGCCGCGAGTGAGTTGGATTAGAACGCTCCCCGAGTAAACAGCGCCTAAAATTTTAGCTCTGCTCAAGAACGCACACGAACGTACCAGTACAAGTCGGTCGTTTTCAAAACGTGTCGCGCTCAAAGTAAGTGTTAAAACCAATTGATTGGAATAGAGTGCTTACAACGGAAATAGCGCAATAAAATCGAGTCCGCTCAACAACGCACACGAACAACCTAATAAAGAAAATCGGTTGTTATAAAAACGTGTCGCATTTCATTTACCGATTAAAATATTGTACGCATTCGAGATCGCGATACCCGTTAGGTTGTTAATAACGCGGTCTCAGTGTAATCAAATAACACTGAAAAATTGTACCAAAGCAAGTGTTAATAAACGTTTTTAAACTATACAAACATTGAACTTTGTGTGTGTGATTATTTCCACTACATCGTTTTGGGAGGACAAAATTAGTACCAGCGATCCGTGGTCAGCGCTCATCACAAGGGATCCGAAGCTTGAGGAATTCCAGANACGAGGGTGACAAAATCGGATCTAGTTTGTCTGGTGAGTCCGTTCCTAAAACAGACTAGAAAGTCATATCCTTCCTACTTGGTTGGTTAAAGTAGGTGGCGACCGAAAGTCAGTACACGAAACACAGTCCCGTCCGGTCACAACCTAACCTTGCAATCCTCAGCACAAACGATGTACGTAACCTTGCAACAGAAATANTATCGTTGTTCAGCAATCGTAAAACTAGTGTTCAGCAAGCCTCCAAGGTATAGTTTGTACAGTACAGAGCTCTGATATGAAAAACATTACCCTGGTGCAGTGGAATTGTCGTTCACTGGTGCGTAACATGGATGCAGCTAGGGTTCTGCTTCAAGACACTGAAGCCGAGGTAGCTGCTTTCTGTGAAACGTTCCTGGACAGTAAGTCAATAGTTACTTTTCCTAGTCATGAAATCGTGTCAAGAGATCGCAACCGCAGNGGTGGCGGCGTCGCCCTCGCTGTTGCCAAGCACATTAAGTACCAGGTGCTCGATGTACCTGACCTCTTGAGACTTTGTCTCCAAAACTCGGTAGAGCTTGTAGCTCTCCAACTCCTCCTTCCTAACAGTAAGTACCTGTACGTCTTCTCGGTGTATAGCCCCCCTCGGGTCTCGTCGAGTTACACGAAGTCACAGTTCTGGCACTCCTTTTTTCAGACGTGCTCTCAGTTTCAACCGTCAATCATCTGTGGAGATTTCAACGGAAAGAGCCCGTTGTGGTGCCACTCTCCACCCTATTCTAATTCGGAGGGGAAAGGCATTGAAAAGGCAGTTCTCAGCTCTCAGTACATGGTTCTTAATGACGGCAGCCATACCTGGAGTTCCGNCGATCTGTCCAGTAGCTCTTCTCTGGACTTAACCATAGTCTCGCAGAGCCTGGCCACTCAGTGTTCGTGGAGGGTGTGTGAGAGCAACTACGGGAGTGATCACTTCCCGGTGGTCACAGTCGTAAGAGATTTTTGTGTGGGTCGCACCGCGTGCCGCCCTTACTACTCGGTGGGGAGGGTCGACTGGAGGAAGTTTAAGTCTAGTTGTGCTCAACAGGCGGAGCTCCTCCCCCGCCCCTCCTAGGCGGGTAACTTGGACGTTAGCGCAGCATACGCTGGTTTGGTTAGCGTGATCGATGATGCATTGCTCCGGGCCGGGGCTGTCAGAATAGATAAACTGGGCGCCTCCAGGAAACCTCCTTCCCCTTGGTGGGACGCCACGTGTTCGGCAGAGTTCTCTAGAAAGAGAGAAGCTTTCTCAGTTTTCCGGGCCCACCCTTGCGTGAGTAACCAAGAAAACTATATCAGGGTCTCTAAAGAGGTCGCAAGGTTTCTTAGGAAAAAGAAAAGGGAAGCCTATCGTAAATTTTGTGAGTCTTTGCACGCTAATTCTGATTTAGGCTCGGTGTGGCAAACAGTTAGGGCTTTCTCTGGCGCACGTAGCAGTTCTAGGTGGTCTGGTGGTAGGAACTGTCTTGATAAGGAAGGGTTCCGTCAGGCCTTTGACAAAGTTGCCCCGTTGAACCCTACACCCCCTCTCGGTGGTGGGGATGACGGCGATCACGTTCCTCGGGAGCCACTGTCTAGTAACTTGTTTATGGAAGCTCCCGTCTCGTGGGAGGAGTATCGTACAGTGGTCAGGGCCTTAAAGCATCGTTCAGCCCCTGGACCGGACCTTATATCCAACCTGATCATCTCCCAAATCCCTGTGGAACTCCACCGGTATGTTCTNGATTTGTTAAACTGGATGTATGCTGCGGGGACGTTTCCGGTTCAATGGAGACAGTACTTNGTGGTTTTTGTCCCAAAGCCAGGTCGTAGTGGCTCCTATAGACCCATATCGTTAGCTAACAACTTCCAGAAGATACTAGAAAAGGTAATGTGCAAGAGACTGGAGTGATGGGCAGAAAATAGTAATATTATGTCCCCACACCAGTTCGGGTTTAGACGAGGTATGTCGTGTACCGACAACCTCTCTACTCTGATATCACATGTAAAGGTAGCTAACAACTCTCGTAAGGTTACAGGTGCTGTCTTCTTAGATGTTGAGGGAGCGTTCGATAACGTCAACCCCCGAAAGCTTCTTTCTATGCTCCGTGACCTACA